TCGGTGCTGTGGAGAGTCTGAAAGGGAGTACCCTGTATTGAAAATGGTCGTGTCCGAGTGTGAATCGTAGGAAGCGTCTGTGGGCTGGGTGAATGGATATAGGTCGAGGGCTGTGAACCAGTCCCCTTGTTCCAGCGCAGGTATTATTGTGCCCAGTGTGACCATCTTGAATTTCTGTACCCTTACGAATTTTTCAGTCGGCGTAAGTCTAGTATAGGTCTCCATCCCCCAGTCTTTTTCTGGGTCAGAAAGTAGTGGGAGTAGAACCCTTTTCCTCGATGTTGTCGGCACAGGTTCCACTGCACCTAGCTGTAGAAGATGAGCCATTCTATGCAAAGTAGGTGCTCGTGAGAGGGGTCCCTGAAGATGGGCGGGGAAGGGTAGGAGGGTAGGGTATAAAAGGGATGGAGTAACCTGACTGAATATTTCCAGGACCTAACGGTCCTCTGTAATCTGCTGCTAGGCATGGTGGAAAATCTGGAGGCAGTGGCAAAATGGGCAAATAGGTGGTGGAGTCAAGAGGTGGTCATGCAGACCCTTGACCAACACTTCAGAATTGTTTATTTCCCGATGGGTGGAAGGTAGCTGTTTGCGCTTGGTTTTGTCTGCTCCTAGGAGATCTAGTGTGATTCCTGGGTATATTGTATGATCTGGGCTGAGGCGGGGACACTGTTGTGTGTGGGGCCTTTGATAAGGTTGATACCGCTGTCTCCTGGGAAGAGATGGGTAAATGCCCAGGCTGCGCAGGGTTGCTCTAAAAAGCAACAGAGGGTCCTGTGGCACCTTTAAGACTAACAGAAGTATTGGGAGCATAAGCTTTCGTGGGTAAGAACCTCACTTCTTCAGATGCAAGTTTACAGACTCAGACTAACACGGCTACCCCTCTGATACAGGGTTGCTCTAGAGTCTTTCATGGTGTGAAGGACTTCATCAGTTTTCTTGGAAAAGTGTTTATCTTTATCCAAGGGGAGGTCCTCCATTTTGGTCTGCAGGTCTTTGTGGATGCCGGATGCAGAGAGCCAGGAAGATCTGTGCATAACCACTGCAGTTGCAGTAGTCTGCAGTCTCCTCTCCTGTCCTCTGGGATATGGGAGGTAAAAATCAAAAAGTTTATTGTAGTTATCGAAGTTGTAGCTTGCAAGTAGGGCGGAATAGTTTGCAATTCTGAATTGCAGAGTGGAGGAGGTATAAACCTTGCATCCCAAGAGGTCAAGGCATTTGAGGTCCTTGTCTCGTGGGGTGGGCTGGTAGTGTGGCTGTTTCGTCCTGTGTGTCGCTACATCCACTACAAAATAATTCAGTTGTGGATGAGAGAATAAGAAGTCTACGTCCTTAGCAGGAACATAATATTTACGTTCAGCCTTTTTGCAAGTCGGTAAGATAGAGGCCGGGGTCTGCCAGAGTGTGTCAGCTGGTTCTAGGAGTGCTTCATTTATGGGAAGCGCGATCTTTGAGGGCGGAGAGGGTTGGAGAATTTTGAGGAGTCTGTATTGTGTCTCCTGGACCTCCTCTAAATGGATGTCTTGGCTGAGTGTCACCCTCTTGAAAAGTTCTTGGAATTGTTTAAAGTCGTCCACATTCTGTGGAGGCGGAGGCATGAGGGCTCCGTCTGGAGCTGATGGAGAGTTAGCAGTCGGTGAATCAGGGTATGGTCCATAGCCCACCTCTTGAGAGGGGGGTTCAGGCGCTCTAGAAGTTGATGGAGCTGGAGATAGAGGCACAGACGGAGCTTGTGGTCTGGTGGAAGAAGCATGAGGGTGAGTGGCAGTAGGAGCTGGCCAAGGGTACCACTGAGGTCAAGGCATAGGATAAGAAAAGTTAAGTGCCGCCCATGGAGGGGCAAAGTAGGGAAACTGAGGCTGGTGGTTGTGAGCCATGGCCTGAGGTGCAAAAGGTTCCGGTGGAGGAGAAGAGGCAGGTGAGGAAAACTCTGCCTGCTGCTGCATATCAGGCTCGCTGTCAGTAAAGGTAGCCAGGTCAGGTGGGGAGAGCGGCTGGTCAAAGAGTGAGCACTGTGTGTCCAGGAGCAGAGAGTTAGGCTCAGGTGCCACTGAGAGGTCATCCTGACTTAGGAACTGTTGTTGCTGCTCCCCGGGCTGTAATTCTGCTGAGCGCGATCTGTGCTCAGAAGTGTGCACGGACTTGTTTGGCTTTTCCCGGTGCTGCAGGTTGCTTGTAGGCATCCTGCAGGAGGTCCACTGCTGCTATTGGAGCGGCACGCAGGCTCGGTGCCGATGTTCTTGTCGGCACTGGGGCAGAGTGCGCTGTCGGCACCGGGTCTATTTTTGGTGCCGAGGGGACCGGTGCCAAGGAGACCTTCCCAGTACGGGAAGTCGGGTCCCTGCCTCTGCGCTCCGCGGGAGCCATGGCTGAGGTACTGGCACAGTTGGAGGGGCCTGCCTTTGGCGCTGTCAGCACTGAGGATAAGGATCTCACAGGAGATCCCTTACCCTTGTGAAAGTCTCTGCCCAGAGACAGTTGGGCTTCCTGCCTCTTCGCCTGAGAGGTGAAGCCTTGCTCCCAGTTGGTTCGGACCTGGCCGGGGAGCGTGAGGGAGAGAGTTTGCCATTGACTGTCTCCAGAGGTGGCTGTAAAGATTGCTGCATCAGAAGCATTTTCATCCGCAGGTCCCTGTCACAACGAGCCCTGGGTTTGAGGCTCGTACAATGGACACACTTAGCAGGGACGTGTGTCTCGCCGAGGCACTTCAGACAATGAGAGTGTCCATCGGACCTTGGCATAGAGTCTTGACAGGAAGCACATTTCTTGAATCCTGAAGACCCTGGCATTATTGCACTAGGAATGCCAGAGGAGAGTGTCTCAGCGGGAGACAAACTTGAGGAAATTTTTTTTTTAAATTAAACTAAGTAACTATTCTAAAGGAAGGGAAACAACTGGGATGTTACTAACTATTTCTATGTTCTTTGTAACTGTTTCCTTCAAGGACCAGGGAAGAGGATAAGCACTGCCCCGAGTCCCTCTTCAGCCGAGGACGGTTAAGAAGGAACTGAGGGGGGCGCGGGATGCACGCGCTCAGGCAGACTCTAAAGCAGTGGCTCTCAAACTTTTTTTTTTTTTTTTTTTTACTGGTGACCCCTTTCACATAGCAAGTCTCTGAGTGTAACCCCCCCCCCTTATAAATTCAGAACACTTTTTAATATATTTAATATCATTATAAATACTGGAGGCAAAGTGGGGTTTGGGGTGGAGGTTGACAGCTTGCGACCCCCCATGTAATAACCTCTTGACCCCTGAGGGGTTCCGACCCCCAGTTTGAGAACCCCTGCTCTAACGAGACTGCGAGACAGCAGCTGAGTGCGTGCGTCCCAACCAAGCACTGCTACCGAAGATCTCCAATCAACGGCGCCAGGACACACTGTCACCTGGAGTGGAGCACCCACAGGGACAGCACACGAAGAAGAATTACCAGTTGCCTTTCCCTAAAAGCACTACTATTGGGTACAGTGGTTGAATTAACCTTCAGAGAGAATATACATTCATAAATATACTGTTACAGGATTTTGGTCTTTTTTAAAATGGTTGCATTGTTTTTCCAGCGTATCTTGTAAATGCGGTTCACAGATTCATAGATTCCAAGGCCAGAAAGGACCATTGTGGTCATCTAGTCTGACTTCCTGTATAACATGGGCCAGAGAACTTCCCCAAAATAATTGCTAGGGCAGATCTTTTAGAAAAACATCCAATATTGATTTTAAAATGGTCAGTGATGGAGAATCCACCAGAACCTTTAACATTGGAACAATTTACCAATCTACTCTTACCGTTAAAAATTTACATTTTATTTCCAGTCTGAATTTGTCTAGCTTCAACTTCCAGCTCTTGAATTATGTTATAACTTTCTCTAAACTGAAAAGCCCATTATTAAATATTTGTTCTCCATATAAATACTTACAGATTGTAATCAAGTCACCCATTAACCTTCTCTTTGTTAAACTAAATAGACTGAGCTTGTTGAGTCTATCATCATGAGGCATGTTTTCTAATCCTTTAATCATTCTGATGGCTCTTCTCTGAACCCTCTCCAATTTATCAACATCTGTCTTGAATTGTGGGTACCAGAACTGGACACAGTTGTTCAGTGCAGAGTTATTTTTACTATTACATTTGTTTGCTTTGGCACAGATGAAAATTATATAGATACATGCAATTCAGTGGAACTTGGGCAAGTCCCTATGATTTATCAATCAATATACAGAGTACTTGTTTTGCAATGTTTTGATTGTGCATTGGACATAATGGGCTAGAATCAGACCTCTGTTATAAATGGAGTAATCCCATTGATTTAGAGGAGATTTGCACTCTATTCATTTTGATGAGGCTCTGGTCCACAGAGTATACTTAGTTCTTGAAATGATTGATTGGATAACCTTGAAACATTACAATGTGAGGCACTATTGTACAGACTCCTGCTCAAGTTATAACTAAGATAGAAAGGCTGCAATCCCAGCTTTTTGTTTTGTTCAAAACTATTTAAATATTTATCAACAGTTTTCATTACATAATATCTGCTGCATGGAGAATTAGAGACAATGTACTGGTATCTTGCGTCTTACTGTTTAAGATTAGTGGAGTCTAGTACATAGGTGGTTCCCAAATTGTGGCCTATGGAGCACTTGGTGGTGGTTCAGGAATAGCTGGCTGGTCAGATGGCACTGGTTGCTGCTTATCTCCAGCTAATAAATCACACTAAAGGCATCTAAACATACATTTTCCTAATATTTTTCCTTGTAGGCAGCTACTACAGTTGCTATAGGGATGTTGTTTTGTGATCATTACTGGAAAGGGAGGTAGTTTGTGCAGTTATTTCATGGACAACCAACCCCTTCACAATCTCTGCATTAAAATATGTGTACTGTATGGTGCTACCAACACACTGCTTCCCGTTTGGAATCTGGAATATCTACAGAGAGTCAATTTTGGACTAAAAAATGCCCAATAAGCTGTTTAGACAGGACTATGTTCGGAAAATGGACAGGCAATTCAATACAAGGCTTTGGGAATTTTATTTAAGAACCAAACATGGCCAGAATACAAAACTAGCATCTCAAGTTAGCAAAATAAGCAATTAATATGCTCGTTTGACAGAAAACTGGAGACATTTTTGGAAAATGGAGAAATACTGTGGGTACAGATTTTTTGGGGGAATAAAATTAAGGTCTTTACAATGAGTGTCAAATCTTCATGTCCATGCCATGACTGAGCTCAATATGTAACCCATTTTCTAAACCAGAAGACTAAAACCATGCTGGAAGAACAGAAATTGAGGTAACTGCTGTTAGACAATTCACTAACAACCAGGAAGTTTATGAATACTTGGCATCTTTGTATTCGGGAAGCCACTGACTAATGGTAATTTTAAAGAGCAAGAGAACAATCTGGTCCATGTTTTCTTTTAATTTTACTCAGCAGAAATATAAAAGTGCAATTTCTGTAAATTAATGACATGTACAGTACACCACAATAAATATTCTTATTTTTGGTGATATCTAAAAATTCTAGTTATTTACTTGAAATGAGTCATAATGAGATAAAAACTGTGTCAACAACCAAAAAATACCTGACCCAATGAAGATAAAATCTTAAACATATTCACCAGGAAGATGCATATTGCATTATTGCAATTAGACCATGCCTCCGAGCTCTAAAGTATAAAAACTTATTCAAGTTATGTAAAATACAGTTGAGATTGTTCTCATCACAGGCATAATCTAATATAAAAAATAACTGACATTTACAAATAAGGAGATTCTCCTATGAGGGGAGAAAAATACAGAAACAGTTCCACTTCAGTGATGATTTTCTGGACTTCATGGAGAAACTAAAACTTGCACAGAGCTGAGGTGTTGTATGAGTACATAGTGAGACAAGTCTGTTTCCATGCCACTCCAACTCAACAGACCTGGTAAGAGGAGTAGGCCATTTGGTAAGCCTACTTTCACAATGTGTCTACTATTCATCTGGGGTATTTGGACCCTTCACATCTCAACACAAAGTGAATGCAGGAGTTGTGTGTCCTGGACAGTATGTTCTTGCATTCAGTTCAAATGGTGTACTACAGGAAATCTGTGGGTAATGTAAAGTTGCCTATTTGCTACTTATCCAGAGCGGACTATATTCTTGGTTAAGAAACAAAAAAAGTCAGAAATAAAAAGAAGTCAGGTATATTAAGCTCACTTTTAAACCACAATCAGGGTTCTAAGTAATATACAGTATAATGTTTCTATCCAATACTTGTTTGAATTGACCAATTCAAATAAGGATTGAACTCCACAAAAGCCAGAATTTTGTGACTCAGTATTACTGAATCAAACCTAAGGAGAAACATGTTAACTACATGGACTGTAACTAGATCATAAAACAATAAAGCTACATTATAGCCTCTAGGATTCACAAAGTCTTTCTCCTCATCTTGGACTGCAATAAAAAGGGGAGATTGGACTGCTCCTAAGCAAATCCCTAATGGTGGGAATTCTGTATTTCTAGTTAGAAAGCAAAGATTGTTATCCTAATCTTTTCTCCCTGCCTAGTGAATATACAGCATTACTTTCCCCCCCTCCATATCAGGTCTCATTTGAGATACAACTCCTGAAGCAAACCAGTGCAGGTTAGATGTGGGCAAAATACTACATTTTGGAAACATTCTGCAGAGATAAAATTAGAGAGAGAGAAAGAAATTGAGCTAGGGAAACATTTAAAGCAACCTGGCTGGAGCAAAGATAAGGCTTTATGCTAACCATTTCCAAGGAAATCCAGTCATCCGTTATGCAAAGCAACAGAATTTACTACCATTCTGGCCAGGTTTCACATTTTTTGTAAGTAAAATGTATATCTCCATAAAATATTATACTAAAAAGAATGTAACAACATAAAAAGACAGTGAATATTACTGATTGTCAGGTAAACAGATTACAGTATTACTACACGTTTGGCCATGTTTTTCAAGTTATATGGTTGTGGCAAATATTCTTAAGCTGACTGAGGTACATGAATACTTTAAACATCTGAGGTTTAGAGTACCATATATGGAAGTAAGGGAAGTGATACTATTCAGTAAGACAACCTTACTTAAAAATAAGGGGTTTTAAAAATTACTTTTTAAGGTTACTGCCTTATCTTACAATATTTAGCAACCTAAGTGGAAAAGAATTTGCTAAACTTTGGAACATCTAGCCTAGCAGGCCAATGCACCGTGTAGAACATTAAGAACAAAACTAAAATGACCCATACAGTAACTAAATGTCAAAAACAAAATATCTGTCGAACATACCAGAAGCAGAGAACCTAAATATTTTCATAAATTTATCACAAATATGGGTGGAAGTTTTCTAAAATATACACACAATATGCATCATCAAGACATTGGATTAACCCAGTAAATATAATAAGCAGACTGGCTATTATCCTGGCTGAACAATTTTCTTCTTTTGTGCCCTTTTTGTTGGCTTTTGAAGGAAAAAAAAAGTTCTGTCCATCTCTGCAAACTTACAATTTTCAACAATTATTTATATTGTATTATTTTCATCAAACATGAGGTTGTTCTCCCTAGAAAACATCTTTTAGATATATTTAAACAGGTAAATGATACCTATCAAAACTGAGCCAATGTTGTGGTAAATCAGATATGTGCTTATTGTGCAGGTAAGGCTACGATCAGACTACACGTTTTCAGCTTGGCTTAAACTAAACAGAGTTAAAACACGACATCACTTAACCCTCTCTTTCTGTCTGACTTATTTTGTTTTTAATGATTAAGACTAATACTTTACTACGTCACACCAACTCTGAACATTCTAGGAAAGTGTCTCTGGCACAGGTGGTTTTCAGAAGAAAAGCCAATCTTCCCAAAAGCTTAACCTCTGCTTTATCTTAAAGTGCGGAAACCGTGGGAAAGAATATGTCAAGACTTCCTGGCTGTCACTGTGGAACCACTTCCCTCAGAGACGCTAAGGCTGCATGTATGCGGACATGCAATCTGTTCTCAAAATCATATCCAGTGAATTCCTCCTGCAACACAAAATACATACAACTATTAACCTCATTGACCTTAGGATGTCAAGGTGACTTGCTGAGGATGCTTAAGAAGTCACTGAGCTACAAAACAGTAACTAGGACAAGGAAAAAGGCTCTTGGAGCTTGAAAATTGCTAATAACCCTCTTCCCTTACCAAAATTAAGCAATGGTGTTGGTAGAGAGATTTCCCCAGCACAGTCCACCAAGTAGAAGAATGTGTAGGACGTTCCCCTCTACCTCCCAAGTGCAAGCAGAGACCAGTCTACTTCTCTATTAAAGGCTTGCACAGTAACTGGGAAGTTGTATATGTCCAAAAGCTCCAGGAAATCCCAAGCTGCATGCAATGAATAAAAGGAACGACCAGTTCCAGTATATATATATATATATAAAGTTATAGAGCATCGGTGATATACACCAACACTTTAAAACCTGCACCACAAGCTGAACTCTCAAATTCACTTAACAGCGGGATTAGGTTGTGTTGATTTGTTACCTTTGCCTGGAGAAGTAAGATTTTGCCTCTTGGCACAGTCTAGAAAAAGGAGAAAAAATATCACTTTAGAAGAATGTACACATGGCAGAAAGGTCAAAAAGAATCTTTTAAAGTATAATGGTCAGCCAACAAGAACTAAGGTCTCAACCCTGAAAATACTACTGGGTCTACTGGGACTACTCATGGTAGTAAACACTCCTAACGAGGTACCTGACTGGTACTGGTCCTGCAGTATGTATTTCTGTATGTATTTAAAAAACAACACTTCTGTCTACTTTTTATATATAATATATATATATATATATATGTGAATGTGAATATGAATATGAGAGAGAGAGCGAGCGCTATAAGCACTACAGTGAGCTACCATATACAGTGAAAACCCTAAAGTTATAGGCAAACTAAAGTTTAAGAATAGTGAATTTACTCTTTTGACCAATTCAACTTGCAAAACACATCAATTATACACTGAGATTTCTGAAGAGTTTCAACTTTTTTTCTTATCTGTTTGAGTTTACTCATTTGAACCTCCTCTTTAGAAATACTAAAAGATTTCCATACTTTATACAACTTGCCCTTCTGCAATAATAATCATGGGATAAAGATAGACCTTATTAGAATGATTTGGAAGAGAAAAGAGAATATTTTGTTTTTCAATAATGAGCTATTTTTCTTGACATAGCAAAGGTTACTCAAGCCTGTATGAAAAATTTGATATTTTCAACTGAACTTTTATTACTGGATTTGAAGGTTTCTACTCTATTCCCCAGTAAGATGCATATGATTTTTTTTATTTTAAATCTTCTACAAGTATGCCAACAAAGGATAAAAAAAGATACTGAGAAAGATGAGTGATTCAAATGAGTATATTACTCCATTTTTTCTGAAAATAAATACCTTAAATATTTGTAGTTTTTATTTCTAAATGGTATAGCTACATTCAAAAGTGTATAAAATATTACCCATAAAGTCTGTGTTTTGCACAAACTGATCTTAGTCTCTTATATAGCATCTACCACCACGGTATCGAAGAGCTTAATGAATGGAAGAGTTTAAAAATAATGAAGTTAATTCAGATGAAATGCTGATCTCACAGATAAATATGAATAACTTCAAATTAAATTGAAGTACTTTATTATTAAAAGTCATGATTTTTATGATGAAAATGCAAATCAGTATCTGTATCTTTCATTCATTAACTTCAGTATGTTTAATCCTTTTCTTCTATGCCCCAAGTTAATTTCCAGAGTTTTTTATTTGTACAAGATCTAAAACTCTGAGAATCATAATGTAACTAAAGATGATCCACACTGATGGGATATGCATACACCTGGACTGTGAACTCTATCTTCTAGAAAGCACTGTATGCTGGGATCCACTCACCCCCATGCCCAGTTCTGATGGTATAAAATGGTGAGCAGCCCCAATCATCAATCAGTTACTTCCTCTAATTCACAAATCTCTTTACAAGAGACTCCAAAAAAGTAGGAAGGTGACAAAGATGTATGTATTACATCAAAAAAAAAATACATTAAAAAACATTAGGGTTGAAAGCTCTCAAAAGTTAGTCCTGCGCACTGAATGAGACAGGGATCCTGTGGAAGAAATAATATGTGATCATATAATTTAAAACTATATCATAATTAGGCTTGGAAGGATTAGATTTTTATTTGTAAATGTCAATTTCACCATACCCACGCAAACGGATAATAAATATTTCCATTGATAATCAAATTTCAGATAGGCAAAGTAAGAAAAATGCTGGTTGAGACCTTATTAAAGTTTGATTTGAGGATATTTACTTTGTATATTTTGATGTTATGCTGACAATTTGCGTTTTAACAGTTATAAAGCTTTAACTTTTTGAATCTCAACGTTCACAGTCATAAAATTGTCCGACTTATTTTCTGACAACCCCACATACTTTCCTAAAAATTAAAATTAAAAAAAGATAAAAATGGAAAAAAATGCTTTAAACCCATTGTGATGTTGCAGTCTATATAATTTTATAAAAATATGCTAATGAGTGAATATAATGTAACTGGAATATGCTTCATGCAAAAGGTCTCTTGTAAGGTATCATTACAAAGCTTATAATCTACTGAGTGTGATCATCCTATTTGTATAAATGTATCACTCTTGTATCTGAAACTAGAAATATGAAATATAATCTGAGGGCCTATTGTAATTATGCAAAGTGTGGGCCATTAATGGTGGTTTGGAATCTTGATGACTCTCATTAACCAGGACAATTGTCTGCAGATGGGTGTGTTTTACCTGTAAGTCTTCCTGTATACATGTGTGCTGGCAAGTGGGCATTGAAGTCTTGCAGTGACATGTGATCATGTCACCTGAACTGGAATCCATCTTTAACCTGGTGTCTTTCCATTGAAAAGGAGGGGGTGGGAGCCCAGAGAGGGACAAAGGATTCCTGCCTTATGCAAGAGATATATAAAGGGGTGGAACAGAACAAAGGGAGGAGAGGAGCCATCATGAAGAATCCCCTAGCTACCACCTGAGCTGGAACAAGAGCTGTACCAGGGGAAAGAATTGTGCCCAGGCCTGAAAGGTGTCCAATCTGAGGAAAAAAACTTACTGAAGCATCTCTGAGGGTGAGATTATCTGTATTCAGTTTGATTAGACATAGATTTGCACATCTTATTTTATTTTGCTTGGTGATTTACTTTCTTCTGTCTGTTACTACTTGGAACCACTTAAATCCTACTTTCTGTATTTAATAAAATCACTTTTTACTTATTAATTAACTCAGAGTATGTATTAATACCTGGAGGAGCAAACAACTGTGCATATCTCTCTATCAGTGTTATAGAGGGCGAACAATGTATGAGTTTACTCTGCATAAGCTTTATACAGGGTAAAACAGATTTATTTGGGTTTAGACCCCATTGGGAGTTGGGCATCTGGGTGTTAAAGACAGGAACACTTTTGTTAGCTGCTTTCAGGTAAACCTGCAGCTTTGGGGCAAGTAATTCAGATCCTGGGTCTGTGTTGGAGCAGACGGGCGTGTCTGACTCAGCAAGACAGGTTGCTGGGATCCCGAGCTGGCAGGGAAAGCAGGGGTAGGAGTAGTCTTGGCACATCGGGTAGCAGCCCCCTAAGGGGGGGTTCTGTGATCTAACCCGTCACACCCATAATTTTGAATTACTGTGAAAATTTAAATAGATAAAAATCTAAAAAAATGCTTAAAATAAACATTGATATTATTTGTCAAAATATAAAAATATAAAAACCGAATTCTGCAAAGCCTAATCATAATTCATAGACATGGGAAGGGGGTTCACAGATAATCATAAATCCAACATTTCTTAACTGCTGAGTTCTTTACTTTGCAACTTTTTTAACACATTAAAAAACCCAACCCTAAGTTATTTGTAAAACTGAAAAAACAAAAATGTCATCATCATATTCACTCCCCACATAGGTCACCAGCAGGGATGGGATCTGTAGATCCATAGCACAGTCCTCTACTACTTGGGCTAAAAGAGTAACTGGTAACAAGTTATCTTTTATGTGGACCCACCACTGGAGGGGGATAAAAACACACATACTTTGCCTGAGTTTCATAGCTATTTGCTAGACAGCAAAGGAATGTCAAGACTCAGAGTGACTGGGTTCATTTCCAGGTTCTGAAGGAGAGTGTACTCAAGAAGTTACAGACCCCTGCCTTTCCCAGCCTCTCCCTGTTCCCCTCTATTCATACTTCATCTGCTGCTCATATTGGCAGCTATAAAAAAAAAAAAACAAATGTAAGAAAAAGGAAGTTGATAGTAATGAATATAAATTGGAAGTCAGGATGATAAGGAGGTTTTTTAAAATATATTAGGAACAAAAAGAATCCGGACAATGGTACTGGTCCATTACTATATGGAAATGGTAGAAGTGTTCAATGAATATTTCTGTTCTGTATTTGGGGAAAATATAGATGATATAGTCTCATCATATAGTGATGATAACACTCTTTCCATTCCACTAGTTTCTTCGGAGATATTAAACAGAAACTATTCAAGTTAGACATTTTTAGACAAGCCAGCCCAAATAAATTGCATCCAAGAATTTTAAAATAACAGGTTAAGGAGCTCACTTGACCTTTAATGCTGATTTTCAATAATTCTTGAATCACAGGGGACATTCTAGAAGACTGTAAGGAAGCTAATATTGTGCCAATTTTAAAAAAGGGTAAACGGGATGACCCAGGTAATTATAGGTCTGTCAGTCTGACGTTGATCCCAGGCAAGATAATGGAGCGGCTGATAAGGGACTCGATTAATAAAGAATTAAAGGAGGGCAATATGGTTAATGCAATTCAAAGTGGGTTTATGGAAAAAAGGTTCCGTCAAACTCAACTGATATTTTTTATGAGATTACCTTTATCAACCACATTTGTAGTGTGGATGTAATGTACTTAGACTTTTCTAAAGTGTTTGACTTGGTACCACATGAGTTTTGATTAAAAAACTAGAATGATATAAAATTAACATTAAAATATTAAAAAACTGGCTAACTGATAGGTCTCAAAATGCAATTGTAAACAGGGAATTGTCATCAAGCAGGTGTGTTTCTGGGCGGGGGGGGGGGGGGGGGTCTTGCAGGGATCAGTTCTTGGCCCTATACTATTTAATATTTTTATCAATACCTGGAAGAAAACAAAATCATCACTGATAGTGCAGATGACACAAACATTGGGGGAGTGGTAAATAATGAAGAGGAGATGTCACTGATTCAGAGCAATCTGTATCGCTTGGTAAACTGCAAGCAATATGCAAACAATGTGTGTTTTAATACCGCTACATGTAAATACTGTATATACATCTAAGAACAAAGAACACAGGACATACTTATATGATAGGGGAACTATCTTAGGAAGCAGTGATTCTGAAAAAGATTTGAGAACATGATGGATAATCAGCTGAACATGAGCTCCCAGTGTGATACTATGGCCAAAAAAGCTAATGTAATCCTGAGAAACAAAAGGGGAATCTCAAGTAGGAGTAGGGAGGTTATTTGACCTCTGTATTTGGCACTAGTGACCTGCTGCTGGAACACTATCCAGTTCTGGTGCTCACAATTCCAGAAGGATGATGAAAAACTGGAGAGGGTTCAGAGAAGAGCCATCAGAATGATTAAAGGATTAGAAAACATACCTTCCAGTGACAGACTAAAAGAGCTCAAACTATTTAGTTTAACAAAGAGAAGGTTAAGGGATTACTTGACTACAGTTTGTAAGTATCTACATGTGTAACAAATATTTAATAATGGGCTCTTCAATCTAGCAGGGAAATGTATAACATGATCCAATGGCAGGAAGTTGAAGCTAGACAAATTCAGACTAGAAATAAGGCATACATTTTTGACAGTGATAGTAATTAACCACTGGAACAATGCACCAAGGGTTGCGGAACATTCTCCATCACTGACAATTTTTAACTCAAGATTGGATGTTTCTACAAGTAAAAACTGTGAGAAAGACTGAAACCCATACATCAGAAGGCAGAAAGCAGAGAAGTCAGTCTGAGTGGATTTTCAGTATGTTCCAAACTTGCTGCATCTTCAGTACTCAAGAGGAGCTTTTATACCTTGTGCCGTGAGATAGGGGAATGGGTGTTCCCAATAAAAACAGCTTTCCAGAAGATTCTGAGCTCATGAGCCAGGCATGTATTTATCCATAGGCGCGGGAATTAGGGGTGTGGGGGGTGCTGCAGCACCCCCAGGTTTCGTGCAGGGTCCCGGCTGCTGCCGGCCCCGCGCTCTGCTCCCAGCTCCTCACCCATGGTCCTGGTGCTGCCAGCCCCGTGCCCGAGGCTCTGCTCCCAGCCCCGCGCCTGTGGTCCCAGTGCTGCCAGCCCCTTGCCCGGGGCTCTGCTCCCGGCCCCAGCTGTGGTCACAGCCTCAGCCCCCTTACTCTTGTCCATGTCCCCCCACCCTTCCGGAGCCACGGCCAATCCTGGCCCCAGCTCTGGGGCGAGGGGGCACAGACAGGGGTAAGGGGTGTGTGAAGTAAAAAGTTTAGGGAGCACTGGCTTTCAGCACCCCCACTGTAAAAAATATTCCAGCGTCACTGTACTTATCCCAAGAGTGGGGGATATATATAGGGAATCCTTAAAGATGTTTATTTTGACACAGAACTAATTAAGCTCGCCAATATTCTTGCTTCAATAATTTTTGTTGTTGTTTATGTGATTTTCTTTTCTTTTTAAACTTTAGCTATAAAATAGACAGGGACTTGGAGTGGTTCTGCTGAGCTTATTGCTAGAGAGTGTCACCAGCTGGTGGCCAGGAATGAAATGTTTCAGTGCCACTGCCTTGGACAGTCTCAGATCCATATTTATTATATAAATATGTAAAAATGAGCAGTATTGAAACCAATCATTATGATACCATCACAGGTACGCACAAAGCCCCTGCAAATGTCACAGTGTAAACTTTGTATGATGTAGGCTACTCTCTACAGTAGGATATCGCCACGTAGACAATAATACACTATCACACTAAAGACACAAAACTAAAGGGACTCTTTATACACCGGTGGAAAAGTAATTAAAATTAACTCCTATACCCGATAACTTGTAAAATAACACATTTTCATTGTCTATTTAGAGTGGTCACAGTTGACCCCCTTTCCACTTCCAAAAATCATAGAATCATAAATTATTAGGGTTGGAAGAGACCTCAGGAGATCACCTAGTCCAACCCCCTGCTCAAAGCAGGATCAATCCCCAACTAAATCCCCAAATGGCCCCCTCAAGGATTGAACTCACAACCCTGGGTTTAGCAGGCCAACGCTCAAACCACTGAGCTATCCCTCCCCCCACGGATGTAAGATGTAAGATGTACTCTACTGTTACCTCTGGATTGTCTAACAAAAGACAGCCGAGTTCATAGCAAGCATATGGCTGAATGTATAAGTTGTTTTGACGGCACAGTTCATCTTTAACAGCTCGCTGAAAGAACTGTAAGAGAAAAATCAATGTTTATACATTAAAAAGAGTAGTGTCTTGTTTGTTTTGGAAAACTAAATAAGCAGCACCCTCAACATCAAGCACCACAAGCCAACTCCAAAATCATAATCTGAATGGAGCAACATTTCCTATATGTCTTAAAGAATCCTTAACAGAAGTGATCATATGAATTCATGTCAGCATCTGCTGTTAGAGAAAAATGTTAGGTCTGTATCCAAAAAATTTATGAATTGATCCAAAGATTTTATATCTTCAGCTGAAAAAAAATTACAGGTTTAACATGGTTCTTTAACAATTGGCGGTCATGGATACAGATTCTTTACAATAAATTGGACAGAATTAGAAATAAGAGTTCACCAACCATTACCTCCTTCATTGTCTTTGTGTGAACTGGGTTCCATTAGCAAAAATAAAACAAGTTCAAAGAATTCGGTGATTGCAGAACAAATTCCAATTCCATCTACATTAAAAAGGGATCTTTGAAATTTGCTAATACACAGAACCATCTTTCTTTTCAATTTTCCATTAGCTCTAGAGCAGTGGTCTCCAAAGTGGGGTGCGCGCACCACAGGAGGTGCGCAAGAGGATCCTTGGTGGTGTGCGGCAGGAGGAGCGCTTTTTTTTTGCGCTTCGTCAGGCGGGAGTCCGAGTGGCTTTTTTTTTTTTTTTTTTTTTTTTTTTTGGAAAAGTTTTTTTTTGGGGTGTGTGGGGGGGGGGGTTGGTTTGTTTTTTTTTTTTTTTTTTTTTTGCTGCTTTGGCAAAAATGGTAGAGCCGGCGTGGCAGGGGGTGCGTGCTCAAAATTTTTTTACTGATAGGGGTGCGTGATCAAAGAAGTTTGGAGACCACTGCTCTAGTGTAAGGGTGTTCAAACTCAGTCCAACTGAGAGAGCTGCATTGGCAGATAGCAAAAGCCTGAGGGATGCCCTAAATTTGTACAGATTGCAGCCACTCAATTTGGAAGTGTGATCCACAGAACCCATAATGTAATACAGGGGTGGGCAAACTTTTTGGCCCGAGGGCCACATTGGGGTTGCAAAACTGGATGGAGGGCCGGGTAGGGAAGGCAGTACCTCCCCAAACAGACTGGTCCCCGCCCCTTATCCACCCCCTCCCACTTCTCGCCTTCCTCAGAACCCCCAACCCATCCAACCCCCCCGCTCCTTGTTCCTAACTGCCCCCTCCTAGAACCCCCCGCCCCTGAGACCCCGCCCCCTATCCAACCCCCCTGCTCCCAGTCCCCTGACTGCCCTGACCCCATCCACACCCTCGCCCCCTGACAGGCCTCTTGGGACCCCACGCCTATCCAACCCCCCTGTCCCCTGACCACCACCCCCAGAACCTCCGCCCCATTCAACCGCCCCCCATTCCCTGTCCCCTGACTGACCCCCAGAGCCATCCGCCCCTTATACAACCCCCCGGACCACTTACCATGCTGAGCAGAGCATGCAGAGCAACATGTTTGGCTGCCATGCCGGCCGGAGCCAGACACGTTGCCGCTCTGCTTGGCAGGAGCGCGCAGCTCCGCCGCCCAGAGTGCTGCCCACACGGCTCTGCAGGGGAGGGGGGGACAGCGGGGGAGGGGGCTAGCCTCCCTGGCCGGGAGCTCAGGGGCCGGGCAGAACGGTCCTGTGCCCACCTCTGACTCAAGGTCCTGCTTGATAAAGGCTGTAATCACTGCACATCACACTTCCATAATTATACCTGAGGTTTGATCATAGGCCACATGGCAGAACACAGAAGGCTGCCTTTGTCCTGTGGACCAAATTTTGGCCACCCTATTTTAGAGCTTAAGATGGCTTCAAGGCATATAACTGACAGAAGCTGTCTTTAAAAAAAAAAAAAAAAAAAAAAAAAAACAAAAATATTAAACCCGGTTTAATAGCCCAGAGGCACAATTCTTTTTTGAAATTCTCCACTTCCTCTTTTTCCCTTCAACTCTCACCCTGGCTGGCCACCTCAGCTTATACATCTGCTAAACATTAGTCCTTAATAGGAATTGGGAGATCACTGAAGCCCATGTTTTAGCCTTTTCCTGACATACAATATGAAATCCAGTAATACATACTATCTCAGAATACTCTGAAAAGACTTAATATCCTCTACTATCATTCACTCAGTGTGTCAGTAACACCGACAAACAGAAGTTTGTACTTAATCAGAAATGGGGTCATTTATAAGATAGTTGGGTACATCATTATTGTCCTTGTAACAACTTACCTGAACCGCATCTTCAGAATTTCCTAAGCATTTATGTATGGAACCAAGAAGCAAATTCTTCAAACCAACAGAAGATGAATCATCAACCTCATGACAAGCTTAATTAAAAAAAAAAAATCAAATTAAACTTTTAATCAAATTATACTCCCTTTAAAATAAAAATGATCCTTTGGTGGTTTTTTTTAATAATCAAATTAGAAAGTGTCTAATTTCTGTAGTTTAATTTTAACTAGCAATGGCCAGTCTCAAATATTGTAATCTGTATCTTTCATGTTCTCTCAGCTCTAATTAAAATAAAAAAAAAAAAAAAAAAAAAGTAATTTTCTAGCCCTCGTGGTTGTGGAGAAAAAACTTGAAAATGTGACCCAAGTGAACCTTAAAGGCTCAAAGCCAGATGACCAATTAAAATAACCCATTTTTGTTTTGTTTTAAACTCAGAATTTTGGGGGCTTGACTCATGATATCTGAATGTTTGGGAGGTAGCAATATTGGTTATTACTGGGAGAATATACTCACTTCATGTTTTGAAGGCAATGATGCAGACATATCTACCTGAGTCTGCACAGATGCTTAAACTATATGCACCATACATTTCAACAGGTGCTAACTCAGATGCTTTAAACGCCAACATTGTAAACCTATGTCACTGTTCGCTTAAGCATATAAGAAAAGAGAGGAGGTATCATATTATGAAGATCTATAGTTTCCCAGTGTAGGCCAGGGCCACGTACAGAACATGTATATGGTAAGTTTTCAGAGGGAGCACAATAGTTTTTTTCCCCCTGGAATAAATAGGGTTCAGCTTTCAAAAGGGTGGGAAACGTGAGGGAAACAAGATCTAGTATTTATTATTTCAATTTATTTTGAGTGTCCATCTTATGGATGCTTTACAAAAATTAACAGACATTGGAAACACTAACATATTTACATATCACAGGAATACGCAACGGTGTGATCTAAAGGTTTTATCAGCATGATTTTGGGGTTATTCATGAAATATGAGTAGAATACAAGCTCATGCCAAAAGAACTTTAATACTAAACACTATAATTTATTCTGTACGTGCCACCTAAATTACAGAAAACCTATTTTACAAATGTTTGAGAGAGTTTATAAAACTTGTATAGGAACTATTTTTCATATTTCTTGTATATTAGAACCAGATGCCTTACCTTCTTTAAGTCCAAATGTACAGAGCTCAGATGGAGCTATTAAAAAAACAAAAACAAACAAAAAACCACCACCACAAAAAGCCCTCAAGAAACGATTATTTTTAGACACAAAAATTTCTTTATTTAAAAAGGTCTTTCTAGCACCTTTCAGGGCTAGAAAATTGAGAATCTGAATCGACCCCCTTCCAATTGTATAAAGCTCCTGCAGGGGCATGAATAATGTATTTTAAAGTTATTTTTATAGATAGAAAAGCTATTACTGGGGTAGGACTCTGGGCCTCAAGCAGATGTAATTTTCAATGCATTGAGTGTATGTGTGGCATGCACAGCATGCACAGAAATTCACCATATAGAAAGAGGAGGAGATATTTCAGTTGCAGGTGGATTTAAAAAAAGGGGGGGGGGGATTATTTGAAGCTGCTCAGAAATCTTAAGGGAGATTGTTCAATGGGGAGAGAGGTGATCAAACGTGCATGATAAATTAATTTAACACATGGCTCTGTAATTTTACACATGGATATCACCTCCACAGACACTTTTTGGGGTGAGCGGAGAGGATTGTGAGTTGTGTGTGTGTGACCGTGTATATCTACATACCAACAGGACCACTGAGCTATTTAGAGTTACCTACAATCGTTACAGTTCCATATCTATTTCTCTAATCCCCGGATATTAATGGAAGTTATGTACACTTAGGTGACAATTAAAACACAAATGGATTGCTGTGTTTTTTGGTTTCTTTTGTGGCTATGTTTAAAAGAGTCATTAAACAAAGTTGAACTAATACAATTATCTGCAGTACACTTGATTTTAAATTAAAATGCTGTCATGAATGTCAACTTTTTTTTTTTTTTTAAGAGAAAGCCTCTTCCTTCCAAGTGTCACTCTCTATTTCAAAATAAGTGTTAATTTGAGTCCTAATGCATGCCCTTTTCCATAACTATCCAAATAATTTAGCTTACTCATAAAATGTCCACACATATTTCAGCCTTCATACTACTGCAATCAGCTAGTCTTCATGAGAGAAAAAAGAAAACAGAAGAAAAAGAGAACATATTATCTCACTGAAAGAGATAGCCAAGGAAACATATCCTACCTTGGCTCATATGCTGTAGGTTAGAAAAGGAACAGTTTGGAAGGGCTTTCCACAAATACAACACTTCAATGGATGCCAGCACACAGAGCTCTTTGGTTGGTGTCTGCTTCCTAAATCTGTCTGCCTGAAAACAGCAAAGATAGCTGTGCTAAGTTCCTCTCAGAAGAAGAGACAGATAAGGGTCACAAACAGTAATTCTGATGTTTTCACAAAAGCAAGTAACAGTGTTAAAATGTTTGAGGCGTGAAAATTTAGCTTGCAGCTCTTTAGGACTAAAAATAAGTTGCTGAAATAGTACAATTATTGTTTCTCAATCAAGATCAAAGTTATCTGGTACATAACTAACAAGTCTTGAAAAAAAAAAACCTTAAAATAATACAATCTGAATATTGATGCAGTGGTGGACTAACTATTTTTCCAATAAAAGTTTGTGGGATCTTAAGTTTGTAGGGCCTTTCCACATCACTTCCAGATTCCAGAATGAGCTAACTAAGGGCATGCACAGTAGAGCTAACATCAGGGTAAAATGAAGCAGGAAAAAATGAAGCAGGAAGAAAGACTAGTGCTGTAGCTTTGGTATATCAGTATTTTTTTTCCTCTGAAAATTATGTAAACCAAGCTTAGTGGTGAGCTACCAACCTTTTTCCTGTTGGTAGTTCATTAAACTATAAAGCACTGTTCACTTTTTCCACCTGAATCCTTTCCACTAAGTTAACACTAGAGAAGATGGCTACCGGAAAAAATATATACTTTGTTTAGAACAAAATCCATGAGTAAAGGACAACCCAATTGCCAATTGTAGTTACTGTACTGAAGCAACTCGATCCATGCCAACCAAACCTTTTTGACTGAGAATTGTTCAATCTGATTGTTTTTTCTTTTGAAAAGCTTCTGAACTTCCTTGAATACATTCTGCGCACCATCCACATCACCAGTGGCTCCTTGACACACTGTAATAAAGTGCACACACACAAAAATTCTGCTAAAGACTCCAGGATATGAAAGATAGGGAAAAATAGAGAGAGGGCATTATGCAGGTAAAGGGGAAAAGCATGGTCTTTTAGTAAAGGGAATTCAGGCACACTCTGTTCAACTCCCAGCTGTGCCATAGGCTTCCTGTATGATCTCTGACAAGACAATTTCTTGGTGTCTCAGTTCCTCATCGGTAAAATGGGGATAATTATACTTGTCTTTGAAGGTTCTTGTGATTAATTCATTAATGTTTGTGATGCACTGAATAATTATGGTGACAGTGGCCTTATAACTACATAAACAAAATCTGAGCCACAGCTCTTTAATATGGACAGTATAAAAGGAGGAATTAGATGAAGTTCCAAGTGTGCAATTAACTTTCACAATTGCAAAAGTTTATGACCAAAGTCTTGTTTCTATACACACACACACACACACACACACACACACACACACACACACACACA